GACATAGGCGACTGGTAGGGGGGGCATGTGCGCCCCTTAACAGGGCCATCCCAACCACCACTGCCACTGCCAGCTTCTGCGGGTGCTCACCCATCCCTGCCACCAACGCCAACCCTGGCTTCTGTGGGTGCTCGCCATCACTGTCTGCCACCGCCACCGCCACCAGCTTCTGTGGGTGCCCCCTCAGATTTAGGAGCACCAGTCACCCATGTACCTGGATTATGTACCTGCAGGGTTCGAATTATGCCTTGACTCCTGGGGGCGGTGATCTGCAAAAAAAAAAAAAAAAATTGGGCTGCCCATCACCATGCCCTAATGCCTTTGAGTGCCACACTGGCACCCATACCTACCCCTGCATTTTGGCTGGCACACGTGCCTCAGGGTAGTTGGCAGGGAAGGGGCCACGGCTGCACTATCACAACAAGGATCGGGCCCTTTGTGGCTTCCCCACCATTCGCCCCTGGCATGCGAACATCTTGCAAGTTGAGGTTGCGTGTGTTTCTGGCACTCTGCCCAAAAACATTGCTGATTCCTGCCCTAATGGAATGAGACGACCCGCCCCCCCCCCCCCCCCCGTATGCCCCCCCCCCCCTCAGGTTATGATTTTCAAATCTTACAGGGGGCTGTCATCTCTTATGGGGGGGTTCAGACTCCCCAAGCTCCCCCTGTAATATAGTTAAAAAGAAGCTAGAAGTTTTAGTAATGTGCTAGTGGCCTAGGCCCCTAGCATAATTATTATAATCCCCCAAAACCTGCTAGCCAGTTTAGGAAAGCAACGACACTTATAATTTTTCGCATGCAGAGTTTTCTGCTTGTTGTCTCTCCATAGCTTCTGCAAATAAATAGGGCTGGTTTTCAGCAATGGAGTTGTTTGCCCTGGTTGCTGCACTTGTGAAACGTACAGGTCAAGTTAGCTCTGGTTCTGAGGAAGTACTGTGCAAATACCACGTAAAATATAGTGAATCAATAGGGTGGCTGTTGATCAACAATCCTCTGAATCTTACAACATTTTTATAATATGCTGTTGAAGAGAATCTTCTTTCAGAGAACTTAAGAGCATATAGCTACACTAGAGAAAATATGAGCGTTATCCTGGTTATGAGTGTTGATAAAATAATTTCAGTGAAGTTAGTTGTTTGTAATGGTTTACAGTTACTTACTAATTGATACACAACTATTTTGAAATGCCAAGTAAATGGTTATAAACCTAGCTAAAACTAAGTTATAAAATAGTGTGAATACATTTTGTCTCTGATTCTGTAAAAACAGGCCTTTGAAATACTTTTACGGACTTCCTTAATCAGAGTGTCATGATGAGAAGCTAAATCTCTCATATTTACTCTGAATATGTGTGCTGCTGTTTAGGAGTTGTGATAGTTATGAGAGTAGATGAGTTTGTGAAGGGTAAATTGAGACCTACTTTTGTGCAAATACAGACTTTACGGCAGTATACTGAAGGGAGTGGATATATTTTCAAGAGCTTCCTTTGTGACTAAGTTCAGTTAAAAAGTGGAACTGTAAAGTCCTAATCCTGTATTTTTTATATTGTTTCAAGAGAAATTAATAAATTAAATACAGTGTAATGCCTATCTCTTAGAAACAAGTGGACAGGGAAATTGAGCCAAGAGACTAAACCAACACCGCTGGCTAGAATTTTATTAAGTCCTTTCATGGCAGGGGGGTGGTGACATTCTTCTCACTACAGGGTGGATTCACATAGTCCACTCTTTTCTTCAGCGCAAAGAGCTTGACTCTCTTCAGTTTCATTTTGATTTTGCTAGAGCAAATTCTGTATCATTAACACCTGTGTAAATTGTTAGTACCCTGGGTTTATATTGGCATAACTGAGATCAGAATTTGGCTCCCAAGTTTGCATAGGGCCAGCCTTAAAAAGTTCTGCAAAATGATGTGTTGTGGGTGGGATGTGTGATTGTTATACTTCCCTATAAGACCTGAGTCTTGGTATCATTCCATATTTTCGTAATTGATAATGCCTAATAGTCAGTGAAGGCAAAAGAAATTATGAAAAAATAATTAAATAACTGTTGATAGTTGAAAGCTTCCCTTCCAGTTCAGAATCCTTCTAAAATTAAAAAAAATTAAACCACCATCCATGATGTGTTTTATATGTAACAGTCTTGAAATCTGGAATCCAATCTCTAAGGCTAGGGACTGACATTACACATAAACTGGTTTAAGTGATCAGAGACTGGTTAAATCTGTAACAAAACAGTCATTCAGTGCATATAAAACAGTTTGAAAATGGTTGAAATCGGTTTGAGATAAACCTGGTTGAATGTAGTATCAGACTTAACTGATTTAGCTCAAACAGGTTTATGAAATCCCCAGCATCCCAGCATGTTCTCTGGGCTAGACAGTGCTCTGCTCTACCTGCAGGGCTGACCCTGCCCCTCTGCTTTCTAGCTGAGCAGGGACTGGCTCTAGCAGGGACACTGGCTGGCTTGGCTCTATTAAGGCAAAATGGGCAGGGAGGGGGTTAATTCTTCCCTCCTCCTCCTCTTCCCCCCACTGCAGTCAGGGTCAGCCTGTCTGTTGGAGAGCAGAGGGGATGGGGCTGTAGCAGTGGCCCCTGGAGTAGGCAGACCCTGCCTGGAGGGAAGGTATGGAGGGAGTAATTAACCCCTCTCCCTGCCCCTTCACCTTAATGGGGCCATGCTGGGTTAGTTGTCCCACAGGGTTGGGAGGGGGAGGTGGGCTCTGTTGTGTGCTGGGGGGACTCTTACCCCTCCTCCACGTCTCAGGGTAGGAAGGGGTACTCTGTGAGGTGCTGGATGGGGAATCTTCCTCCTCCTCCCATTCCCCCCTGCCACAGGGATCATGGAATGGAATGGGAAGGCTCCATGCAATGCTGCCTGACCCCAGAGTGGGGGCGGGGGCCAGGGGGAGGCTCTGTTTCATGCTGGAGGGAACTATTCCCCCTCCTCCTCCTCCCAGAGGGGCAGCAGGAGCACGGAGCTCACTGGGGAGGGTGTCAGTGTGTGAGGGAGGGTGGGGAGTGTAGCAACCCCCACACAGTCCCCCCCCACCCATGGCATGCAGCCCTTGCTGCCTGGCAGCAGGCGGGGAGGTCAGGGTGCTCATGCCTGGTGCAGATGTGGCTCTAGCCAGTGCTGTGCTAGGGGAGGGAGCAGAGCCTGCCTTATTCCCACAACTCTGCTCCCTGAACCTGAGCCAGTTGCTTCCCCCACTCTCCACCTTGCAAGTCCCAGCACTCTGTTGGGAGTGGAGGGAGCCCCACCCCCTGCTTTCCCCAGAGTCCAGTTTGGGGCTTCCCTGTATGAATGTGGAACTGTGGGGATAGAGGCAGCTAGTGCTGTGCTGCACTGGGGGTGAGGCTCACAGCCCCGCACAGCCTGCCCGGCCTCTTCTATCTCTGAGGCTCCAGGTTGTGCCTGAAGCTCTGTGCTCACACAGGGAAGCCCTGCACTGGATTCTGCGGGGAACCAGGGGGGCAGGCTCCCTCCACTCCCACCAGAGTGCTGGGATCTGCACAGCAGAGAGTAGGGCAAGCAGCTGGATTCAGTGCAGGGTTGAAGCTGCAGGCTCAGGGAGCAGAGTCGTGGGGATAAGGCAGGCTCTGCTCCCTTCTCCAGCGCAGTGATGGCCAGAGTCACGCCTGCACTGGGCACAAGCGCCCTGACCTCCCTGCCTGCTGCTGCTGCCAGGCAGCAGGGGCTGCACACCACCGGGGGGGGGGGGGGGCCCCGGGGGGGGGGGGGGGGAGTGTGTGGGGATCCCTACACCCCCCACCCTCCCTCCCTCACATACCCACACCCTGCCCAGCTGAGCTCCATGCTTCTGCTACCTCTCTGGGGGGAGGAGGAAGAGGGGGAAGAGTTCCCTCCAGCATGGAACAGAGCCTCCCCCTGGCGTGGGACTGGGGAGAGTAGAGGGAAGAGTCCACTTCTGGTGGTAAGCAGCATTGCATAGAGGCCCTCCTCCCCACCCTGCTGCAATGGGGGAGAGGTAGGGGGAAGAGTCCCCCTCTGGGGCCAGGCAGCCTCACAGACCCCCATTCCCACCGCAGGGAGGGGAGGAGGAGGGAGAAGAGCACCCCAGCACCACTCCCAGCCCCATGGGGGAGAGGGAGGAGGGGTAAGAGTTCCCCTCTGGGGCCAGGCCGCTCTGTGTCTGGATTACTCCTGGCTGTTGGAGCCGCTGTGGCGGGCCTGCCCAGGTGTGGTCATGTGACTGAAATGTAAATGCTTATTCATGGACAATGGATGTTGTATAGTAATGGAATATATTTGATGGTATTCTTTTCTAAGAAACACTTAATTTTTAGGAGGCAATTAGAAGATGAGTTATTGCATTCATATTTTCCTACTGGTTGAATTGTTGTGTGCTGGATTTAGTTGACTGTAAATGGAATCGCTTCTGAAGGAACAGGCTAAGTGACTCTGAACTCTTAAGTTGATCACCAAACATATTAAGAAGACAGATAGGCTTATGGCTAAATTATGATGAAACTTAGTATATGATGGGACTACTTTCATCACATTCTAAAACTAGAAGCTTTTAAAAAATTTAAAGAGCAAGAGGCCCAAATCAAACCATTAAAACTCAGTTTGAAACCAATATATTAAAAGCCCTTCTTTCAGTACTAAAGGCCAGTTTTGTAAAGCAGACTGTTCTTCATTTTAAAGTTATTCTTCAACATATACATTCTGTAAAGTGTTACAGTGAAGTGATTGAAGGGCTGTCAGACATGGGTCATCATTTCTTGTATATTTCATGTGTGGTGTGATCAGGATTTTTTTTGAGAGAATATAGCTCACTTTCTTACAGTCTGTTTAGGAAGATGTAGAAGTCTTGTAAAAATTCAGAAATCACATAAATGAAATCATTACTTTAAGAGTGATGATCATGTCAAGTGGCATGCAAACTATATTACATTGTAAAGAATGCTTGACAATCTGTATTAGTCCATTTAGTTTGCTTGCTATGACTAATCAACCAACTTGTGTGTTTACTTCTAGGGAAAATCCAGAACGTACCTTTGATTTAGTAGTAAAGGTAAAATGCCAGACATCTGAGAATGAAGGTAATGTACTCCAACTATTGGTATTTATTTATAGAAACTAGGGATTGAAAAGTTCTATTAGATTACTGAGTTCATACCCTTTCAACTTTGTCATTTCATATTTTGAACTGTGGAAGTTTGGAATTGTGTTAGAAAATGCTCACAGCTATTATTTCGTTGCATTTTTTCATCCATTTATGTTCTGCTGACAGAAGGTCAAGCATTTACAAGACTTCACTGTTTTGGGCACTATTTGGTTTTAGTAAGTGTAAATATAGTGTTTTTGGCCATTGACAGACCTGAAAAACAAAACAATGCTTCACTGGAAGAGGCATCGCATCAGTTCGACCCGGCTTGCCCAACATCTGTATAGATCCCACTGGGCTTTTTGGCACTTTTATCTAATAGCTGATTGAATCAGCTATTAGATAAAAGTGCCAAAAAGCCCCACTGAACCAGGTGATCTATACAGACGTTGGGTGAGCCAGGTCAAATTGATGTGATGCCTCTTTTGGGTGTGCGCTGTGCTTGGTGTGGGGGTGCACCGACCTGACAGTAATGCACTGTTTTGTTTTGTTGGTTTTTTTTTCCACGTGTGTAAACAGCCCTTATTCTGAGAGAGTTGCCTGAATATCTTGAATTTTTGTTTGTACTCCTGTAACCTTTTAGTCTGTAAAACTGAGATTGCATAAGTAATTGAATTTATCAGTGTCTCATAGTTGAGTCTAAAGAGGGCTTTGAGTTTTCCTGCCACTCTGGAATTATTTTTTTAATCAGTGCTGTAGCAGAAAAGAAACTGCCTAAGTAACAGAAAGCAACTTCTATTACACAGTAGCAGTTTTGCAGAGGTACAAACGACATTGTTAGCTGATTTGAATTGATATTAGCAGTCAGTTTCATGTTTCTACAGACAGTCTGATAAAAGAGCTGACAGAGCAAGAATGAGATCACTGTCCTCATTGTCCTCACTACTCCTATAGGAAGGCTGATCTAGAACTTTATTTTGGTGATGGCTATTAACCAGACTTCAAGCTTTTAGATTCATTTGTGGTCAGTTTATGTTGATTTATTGCTTTGCCAATTTTGTCCTTTAGCTTTAGTACCTCTTCTCTATCCCTTATGGGCTACCCTGATGCGTTTAGGGATGGAGGTTATATTCCTTCTCAGTGTCTACTTCAGTGGGTTAAGCAATTTCTAAGCTCTTTTATTATTCTCTCGTAAGATAGATTCTACATTTCTGTGGTCTTTTTATTGTCATGCACCTGTTTCAGTTTTCAGTAACCTATACGATTTTAATTTGCCTTGTATCTAAATGTGCTCTTGACACTATCCCCTATTGATTTCAGTAGCTCCCCATAATATTGTCTATTTCCTCTGCTGTTAAGAACGTGGAGCTGCACTTGCTATCCTGATAATCCTCCTTCAGTCTTTTAGCCTCTTTAATTACTACTGAGTATACTTCTACTTTTTCCCAACCAAACTTCTTGAATATATTATCTGTTACCAATGCTTCAACTTTCTCTCCTCACGGTTCCTCTTGGACCCTCAGCTTGCTCATTTCTAACCTATTCCACATTCCTGAGATTTCTCTCATCAAAAGACGATGTCTTCATGACAGGATATGCAGTCCAGCATTTATATTGGAGAAAACATTTGAGTTTCTTCATAACTTATTTTTCTTGTCTACATTGTACTTATTTTTCTTGATGGGTTAGTTTCCTTCAGATGGTTTGCTTTCCTTCCTTGACTTGCATTTGTATTTTTCTGGTTCTCTGTTGGTTTAACTTTCCAGTCTCTGATTGCTTTTTAAATATTTCTCACAGTGTCCCCTGTCTTCCCTTACATCCTTTCCCTTGTAACACTCTCATTACCATTTGAACAATGAAAATACAGTCTTCATGACCACCCTCTTTACTTCTTTCTGATCTGCCCCTATATTTTGCTTTTGTTTTGTGACCATCTCTTTGACATCTCTTTCTGGATATCCAGACACATTTTAACTTGACTCAGGCTTTGGCTTGCAACCTTCATGCCATATTCAGCTCCTCTCTGTCCTCCTTTCTCCCCTGAGATCTAAGCAGTTGATTAATCATTCCAGTTCTTCAGCTCTGTGCTATCTTTAAAATCTGTCCTTCTTTCCTATTCCCAGCACCTCAGTTCTATACTCTTGTCATCTTTTGCTTTCACTACTAGAGGGTTCTCATTTCTGACTTCCCTGAATCTCACATTATATTCTTAAAATCTGTCCAGCACACTGTCGTAAGAACCCTTTTCTTCACTTGCAGTTTTGTGACCTCTACTTGCTCAAATCCTCTATTGGTTTCAAGGCTGTGCAAGGCTTGGCTTCTACTTATAACCCAGTAGTAGTTTCCTAGAACACTGTATACCATACCATTCATCTGCATATCTGATAAGTGCATATTCACTTAGATGCATAACACAATGCCAGTATCAATTTGTTCCGTACTGCATACATTGTAACAGAGTCTGTCTGTCTGCATATCCATACCTGCATAAAAAAGTAAAATGTATAGGATGTTTCAACCCCACTCTACTTTATAACTTAATTCTACTCAGCTGCTTCAGAAACAGTGAAGGGGAGGCACCTGTCAAAGGGCTGCTATTCGAAGCCTTGAAAAGGACAGGAGCTAGTCATTTTTACAGCTGCTCCTCTCATTTTTAAAGCTTCTAAAGCATCCCTGACAGTGACTATTAGAAGCTTTGAAAATGAAGGATGCTGGTAAATTTTGGGGGTGCTAATACCGCAGCAGTACCTACAGTGCTCTAAGTAATGCTGGTTCAGTACAGCACTGTTAGTGCTGCGGTATTAGCAGCCTCAAAACTGACTCGCTTCTCTCATCTTCAAGGTTTCTAGTTATCACTGTGGGGCTGCTGTTAGAAGCCTTGAAAAATGAGAGCTAGTCAGTTTTTGGGCTGCTAATAAAACAACACTGATACCATTCTATACTCAGTGAGCACTGAATGTTTATGTCAAATTTGGGTAAAGGTTTAGTGTGGGTGAGTGCAGAGGTCTTGTCTGGTCCTGAGACTTGTGTGTTTACATGGAGTGTGCTGGGCTTCCTCTTACTCTGTATGCTCTGTTTCAGTTCACCTTAAGGTTCACTGGGTTGTCTCCTAACAATGACTCTCTCTACCTTTTTCATATCTTCCCTTATGTCTTGAACATCCTTCCTCACTCTTTGTCCCCTGTAGCCTTTTCTTTTCCTTTCTCTTATCTTTTGTTTAGCCTTCTGCCCCTACCCTCCATGCTAGCTCTCGCACCCAATTCTTAACATATAAAAATATATTGAAAAGAAGGAACCAAGATTTCCATGTCTATATTTTGTTTTCAGTTCTGTATAACAGTTTTTGTGGCCTTCTCCCCATAGTTTCTGGGTACTTAGTAGTGTGTTCAGTGATGTGACTCACATTTATCTTATGGAGCATATTCCAGCCCCCTCCCCCGTCCTTTCCCCAGGAGGAAGAATTGTATGTGCTTTTTTAGGATGTGTGTTGGCAGAGCGATGTTACTTTTCTAAAATGTATGCTTCTGTGCATTTATGCTGGGGAAAGCAAGGTCAAAGGAAGCAACTTCATATTTGGAGCAAGAGGTAGGGGAAATCTGTAATGGCCCTTAGTTTCCATGTGGGTTCATTCAACAGTCTCAGACCAGCCCTGGAGAAAGGTTCATCTCTTGCACAGACAGGCTTTACAGTTATGGCAGAAAGGTCTATTGTACCTGAGTAGACAGTGGTTTTAAACACATCTGCCCCTCTTCAATTTTATGCTGGAGGCCTGCCATGCCCATTCCTCGGGCACTGTCTTAAAGTGGAGGGTAATATTGCTGTGTGAGTGTGGTATGTATCAATAAACTCTAGGGAGTGTGATTCTGAAGAGATGCTTGGCCCAGGTTTTTAGACTTGGAAGACAAGGGCTGAAACCTTTAATTTGTTTCAGCATTTCATCGATAGTGATTCTGGAGTGTGGACGACAGGTTTGATACATTCAAATAAATCTACATTGATGAAATGTACTGCATAGTTATGTACTGGTAAGGTTTTCCTAAAGGGCTGATTGTCTTGTGCCCAGATAAGCTGCATTGCTGTAGTCTAGGCAGATGACAAGTATATGTACTGCCAAACCCGTGTTGTCATTCTCCAAGAATGGGAGTGTCTCCTTTTCAACTACTGATATTAGAAAACATTACATATGGTTGATGCTAAGTGAGAGCTTAGCAACAGCAAGGAGCCAAAGCAAACTCCTAAACAAAAACCTGAAATGTCAAGTGACACCAACCAAATGAGACTGCTCCATGGCTGCAAACTTTTCAGAGAGCCTTCTTCTGTCCACTGTCCTTACTGCTGTTTTGCTTGGGGTCAGATTCAATCAGCTACTTTTTCTTTTTTTTTAAATCCATGCATTGACTTCATCCAAGCATCCATCGTTTTATAGTCAAATCTAGTGTAGCAAAAGTGTTGCTGTCTGCTATCTTTATCTTGTTGTCACTTGAGTCTATATCATGTGACTCACGTTCATAGCGGCTATATGTTGAATAGGACTAGACAGAACATTAATCCCTGTTCGACTCCACATATGTGGGATCCAGTGGTGGAGGTGTGTTTTTTTTATTAATACTCTCTGGAATGCACATGGGTATTGTCATAATCACCTTTCTATATTCCCTGCAGCACTGTGGACTCATTATCATCTCTTTTATATGATTGATTAATTTAGATAGCAAAGTTTATTGCATTTGTCTGCCACTATGAAAATAATTGTGTCAAATACGTATAGTTGAATATTTAGACTGTTTTTATACAAGATAATAGTGTAAATCACAAAATATCAAAGTGTAATTTCTTCAGCACCACTTTAAAAACTAAGCACAAGCTTATTTGGCTAAACAGGAGGCTTTCAAGGTCAGCTTATTGTAAGGCCAGACAAATTTGACAGTTCTCCTGTATTGTAGGTCTTGCCTTTAAATGGATTTTCATGCTAGGATAATCTTTTGAATATATCAT